AAACGTTTGCATTACCTCCAATGAGCTATGTTCTGCTAAACAAACTGGCAAATACTTTTTCTATAACCCTTTCTCCTAGGCCTCACAACAACAACATAAAACTTTGATAGCCGATACAAACTATTTTCTTCATGGTATGAAAAATGTTCAGCCTTAATATATGTGTGTATAGTTTTCTGTTGGAATTTGTGTCCAGCTGCAGTAGCAGCAAGTGCCTGTGTTGCATGCCATCTGAGAATGCATTGGAAGAAAAATGAACAGGAAAACACCCTGTGGTAGAAGAGAGGGAAAAATAAAGAAAAAGAAAAAAGCATCTGTTACATTCCAGAATCAGTCATAATAATGGAAGTTCACATCAGATAAATTGCCAGAGTAAGAATGAACAAACATCTGGTTTATTCATCCCTAGCTATACTAACAAAAATACGATATCCTGTTAGAGAAATCTCTGATCATCCTAGTTTATCTTGGCGGTTGTGCACCTTGGTATTTTTCACTTAAACAAGAACGTATCAGTACTTTACAGCTAGCATGCCTCCATCTCTAGGTTCACAGTTCATGTGCGTCTGTGAGTTTGAACTCTTCTTTTCCTGAGTTTACCAGCAAACAGCTGCACCAGAACAGATATTTTTACATGTGGGATGTAAATGGCAGCTTGCAGCTCAGAGTTTCCATTTCCTTTTACATTGTTCAGGAATCCAGGCTCACAGTTTGTGTCCTAAAGCTTGGCCCTCTATAGTACAAGTGTTTTATTTTGACATTGATTTGTTGAAAGAAAGGGCTGAGTAGGGAGAAGCTACTGTCACTGGAAATTACTCAGTTTACATGAGGTTCAATTGTGGGCGAAATAGCTTTTAAAAAAAATTCTAAACATCACTTTCTATAAGGCTTTTAAGCATATGTAAATGGGAGGCTAATGTGAAACCACTTTATGTAACTATAGCATGGTAGATGCATTTTTAGACCAAGAAAAATTACATTTCTTATTAAGCGTGATGATGAAATCTGATTAGCTGCTTAAACCATGACACTATCTATTTAAGCTATTGTCATATGTAGGTGATAAAATATTCCCAGATGCTCTTCACAAGGCAATAATTCCTTGAAGAAGTTATGGTAATTATAAACAAGAAACAAAACCATCAGAATGATTTGTTCATTTGCCTGAACTCTGAAGTGGAATTAGAGCCTTCAGTGAAGAGTATTGTTTGTTCTGAGGTTCCGTCACCCGACAGACTTCTCTTTACGACTGTTGTCAAATTCCATGTTCATGAGCTTTTCCTTCCTCTTTTGTACTGAATTTGCATATTTTGGGTTCTTGCTCTGAACAAAAACTGTGGTTTATTGATTATTCTGGTAGCTGAATGAAGTGATGTTATGTGAATGATCTCTAGAAATACTTGTAGTAATTGTGTGTTGTGTTTTGGCTACTGTTGTTTTGAAACAGGATTGCCGATTTACCCTAATGTGTTAGAATGAGCCTAGCTTTTGGTCACCTTCACATGGATCTTTTATAAAAGGAAATAATTTAAACTTATTGGAGCATTTTGATGCAGTTTATTTCTGATATAGATGCGTATACTAATTGCTAGATTGAGCTATGGCCCACTATAGAAAGTGATATAATGGTAATGCACTGCTGATCCATGAAATTTTAATCTTTAATCTTAATTCTAATGTTTCTTATGATATTTGAGCTATAAAATTGAAGCATGAAATCAAACAACAGAGTATTTATAGAATTGCGTCTTGTACTTTATATGAACGCACAGTGAGACAGTCTGGAGAGCTGTACTCACTGAAAATTACACCCGGAAAATAATCTTTTAGTACTTGTCTGGATCATTGTCCAGTCTTATCAGTGCAAGATAGGGATCTGGAATGCAAAGGAAGGCCTGGGACTGTAAAATCCCTGATCTTGGTCAGTGTATGTTGCCACTGGGTTGTGTTCTCAGGCTGAAAATGCAAATACCTGTATGTTTTCCATGAGCTTGTTGAAGGCAAATCGTTTACATCTTTACTTTCATTAGAACTGCTGTGTTTGTGGCTGGGAAATCAAAGTACGCAGTTAACATCATGCTGGCATAATCTAGTCTATTACACACCCCCTACCTGCTTGCAGGGCAGCAGCCCAGGTAGCGGTGGTTCGTGGAGCTGGGAAGAGACCACTTGGCAGGGGACTGGATGAAGAGGCATTCAGAGAGGGTAGCTGAAGCTGGGTAAAGACTCTGTGTAGGCAGGTAGGAGTAGTTGTGTCATAGTGTTTCCTTCAGTTGAGGTACAGGAGACCACGTCTGCTTAGGTGGATATTTGTTCCTAAAAATCTGTGTCAGTTCACCTGTAATCTGTAATTGCCTTCTGTTGATAAACCGTGTATGAGAAATTATAACTGAAATAATTGAACCCGTGTATTTCTTTACATTTCTGTTGTTGAATTTAAAGTGATTAGCTGTTTTATTTCATAATCTCTATACGTAGACGAGCTTGTCTGTATTTGGTTTTGTTTGATGCTTTCATTTGAAAGCAGGAAACAATCTGAAAGTAATTGTATTAAGTGTTTCTGCACAAAGATTTTAAAATATAATAGCTTGGCATATTACTTGCTTCTCACTATTCCTTGGAGGAAATAAAATGGAGTTGCAATTTTCATCCAGGCAGCTTTTCTGCTACATCCTGTTTCCTTCCGCACACTGGAGAGAGCACCAACGTTCCTCTCCCTTTGCTCTGCTTCAAATGAAGAAATCCCATTCTCTGTGTTGTAGTACTCTGGTGAACACCAGTGTTCTGTTAACTTTTCAGATGCAAAATATAATTTTTGGGTTGTTTAGGCAAATGTGGATTTTGCCCTCCATATCAAAGGAAAGCATTACAAAGAATAGAAGAATGTGCATGGCTACCCAGATAAGTGCCCCAGCATAGCTTTTCTGGGTATTTGCTAATTGGGTTTGCATTTCCCTAGCTGTCTTGAAGGGTGGCTACCACCTCTCCGATAGCCCTGAAGTGCTGAGTGAACATTACTGTGCTTACTGGAAGGCTGGCATCTCTGCTTTTCTCTCACTGAAATGTAGATTTACAATCCCCCTTTCTCTAAGGAAAACTGACCCTTGGAAAGGGTTGGCATGAAAAGGATTAACTTCCTGGAAACTTTGTTTGGAAATGTTAAGAGCCTGCTATGTGTGTATGCTGGCAATCTCTATAAGAGACAAATTATTTTCCCACCCTCTCAAGTACTCGGTAGTTTATCTCTTGTTTATATTAAAGATTGATTGTGGTTATGTATTCCTGATTCCTGAAATCAGAGTTCGCATTAATCACACTGTGCCACATAAGAGACTGTAGAAGAAGAATGTGGGTTACTGGAAAGCAAACATATGATCTGTGGCTCTGCTTTTAATAGGACTTATCCTGACATTAGCTTTGTTTCTGTGAATTACTGTGTTTGTGTAAACCTCTGTTTGTTTGTTTGTTTCCATGTTTGGTATATCTGTTTTTCTCTGGGCTGTTCAGAAAAAGATAATACACTTATTACAATTATTTTGGAGAATGTGAATCATGACACTTGCTGTGTTACTATTTCAAGATGTCCCTGCTCCCCCCACATGCCCATCCCCTTGCTTGCTAGCTCTTACTTCCTCCCCCAGCCCCAGCAGCCATTTCCTCCCTCTGAGCAGAGCCACTCAGGCAATTGTTTCAGCCTGTACAAAGCAAAGAAGAGGTGGAAAAGGAGCAGTGGGGTTAAGACAAATGCACAAAGGCTGGGACTTCCTAAAGTGCATCAGCTGCCAACAGAAAGATACTTTCTTTCACAGCAGCAGAGCAGATCTGTACCTCCTCCTCCTTGACCCTGCTGAAGGTTTCCAGCCCCAAAATGTTCAGCTGTTTCTGGTCCCCTCCTAAGCATGAGAGTTAAAAATGCTGGCAAGATGGAGAGAAAGAAAAGGGAATTTACTGGTTTTTACAAGCTGATTGGGGTTACAAGGACACATTACCAGCCTTGCTTGGATTCCGGTCCAGAAGCCTCTGGAGCAAGCTATTTTCCCACCTTGCCTTGTCTGGCTGAAAGTCCCTGCACATCTTCCAGAGGCATGCATTGAGCCCAACTCTTCAGTGTGTTCTGGTGGAAAATAGTTACATCAGCAAATTTTCAGTCTATAGAAGATTTAATCCCTTGAATTTTTTAATTGCTGCATGCTTGTTTTTGTCTAATAAAAATAAATTATTTGGATCTGAAAAGAGGCAATTGAAATCATTTATATTTGCTGAATCAGAGCAAATTAGCCCTGAAGAGACTGACACCATTTAATACAGATAAGATAATATTTTATTTGTAGCTCTGCTGAAAATACTTTGCCAGACATTCTAATTCTGCAGGTATCTTTCTCCTGAGCCATGTTACATTAGTGTCTGACTTCTTTGGTGCAAAATCTCATTGTAGAATTCACTGTTTAATAGTCTCTTCAGCAGAGAGAGATGACAGTAATTGCTGGCTTATGTTTATAATTAAACATCCTCTCCTCAAAAGCAAGTGCTGACCAGAAGTTCTGCAAACCTAGGAAAATTTAGGTCCATTAGTTGTGATGAAAGCACATCTCTAGTGAAATCAAGGGAGAAGGAATAATGTAGGGAATTCTTAATTCTGTAAGAATTTGCAAACATTTTAAATAAATATAATTACACGGAAATAGCTATTTTAAAGGACTAGATGTTTTTAAAGTATTTTAATTCAAACATTCAGTTTGCTGGGGTTTTTTTCCCCTCCATGTGACTACTTTTGACGACATATTGTACATATCAAGAATAATAATTTATTTCTGAGTTGGGAATAGTTTTTTTTAATCAGACTCAGTAATGTAAATAGACCTCTATTTGAAAGTTCGTTCAAAACTAAGTACTGGTGTATATTTAAGTGCACTACATGCTAAAGTAGAAATATCCCCTGGTGTTTAACTGAAAGCATATTTTATGTGTGGTTTTGTTTTGGTTTTTTTAATGTTTAACAGTAACTGAAGCTGGCTTTGGTGCTGACATTGGGATGGAGAAATTCTTCAACATCAAATGCAGAGTCTCTGGCTTGGTTCCCAGTGTGGTTGTACTTGTTGCTACAGTGAGGGCTTTGAAGATGCATGGAGGTGGGCCAAATGTAAGTTTTTGCACCTTTCTTGGAAAGTAACATTGTTGCTAATATTTGAAATAAGTAAAATATCTTGGTTTAAGAAATATTGGGAGTAGCCTATGGGGCAGTATTTAGATATCCCTCCTGAGTTACCTCATTATGTATATGTTCACTCCAAAGGTAATGTAGGACTGGAAAGGCAAAAATGAAATAAGAGGGATTAAAGAGCTCTGAAAGAGTACTAAATCTTGCTGAGGGAGGGAAGTTTGTTTGCATTAAAAAAATAATATCTGTATGTTTACATATTCTTTTCCCTGCCTTTTGTAAGTGCACTGAAGCAGTCACAGGCTAGGAAAGTTGGTAGCTGAAGAGGAATGAGGAGAGTTCAGGTTGCACTATGTGAGTGCAAGTATGGAACATTGTTAGTGAAGGTTTTGAGATTTCTTTCACTGTAATAATGGCAACTGCTTCTGTCCTTTTAATCTGCTCAGGTTAATTCCCTCAGAGATGTTGTGGTAACTGATAGAATTGTGCGAGTGTTTTCCTAGTGCACCAAAAGTCACCAGTGTATCACTTTTTTGCTATTTAAGCCACAAAGAGACTTGCACAAATTACTGATTGTAGAAGTACTCCTCAGACATGATCAGATCAGACTCTGCTAGCCAAACAGTCAGTCTCTTAATTCCTAGAAACACTTTCATCTGCTTAGCAGCATGCAAGAGAATGATGCTGCCAGGGAAACAGTCTCAGTGTTTGAAAATACCAGAGCTGCTTCTGCAGCCACCAAATTTTGGAATGCATGGTCTCCCTTACAGCTAATCATCTATTATTGGTGAAGCTGAGCTGTCCTTTTTCAGTCTTTTGGGTTGACATAAAAATATCCAACTTTCTGTCATTTTCGTCCACTTTTAATGCAAGTGGACTTTATTTTTAGTGATATTCCTCTGTGCCTGTCAAGGCAGGTCTATTGTCCTGTGTGTTACCATTCAATCCAGCAAAAATAGGACTTAAATAACTGTCTTAATAACTGTCTCTGTTTCTGTCTGCTCTGTGTCTTTAGAGGTATAAAGCTTTCATTTGTTTACATAATGCACTATAGAGCATGTAGAGTAGCAGATGCTTTTACTGAGAGGTTCACTGTAAGATGGACCAAGACCAGTGCTTGAGGCAAAAGTGACTAGGTCCAGTGCCTGGGATTGATGTATGTGATCCTTGGAGACTAAATATAGTATAGTAATCTGATAATATTCTCTGTCTGTATGCCTTTGTGCTTTCCAGCAATTTAAATTACTTGCATGCAGTTCCTTGCCACAAGCAGTAATTACAGGACACTCAAAGATGATGTTTCTCTTCTAGTCATCTGTGTTACTGTTATTTCTTCAGCCAGCTGTTGAAGGTTGCTGTCCATTGTCTTTGCACTGCTGGTGCATTGTTAAGCATGTAGAATGGGATCCAATTACCTCCTCTCTAATAAATCTTTTACAACTAATTGCTGAGTCACTAGCTGTATCTTACTACCCAAATATAATAGGAAGTGTTGCTATTATCCATGTACCAGTGTAACTTGGAATAAAACAGAAGCTGCAGTCAAACTATGATGTTGTGTGCAATGTACGTGCTGTCTGGCAGTATAGAAGGTAAGCAAAAGTGTACGCCCAACCATTTAGGATTATGACAATTGTCAATCTGTGATGAATCACAGAATATTAGAAGTTGGAAGGGACCTCGAAAGAGCATCCAGTCCAACCCCCCTGCCAGAGCAGGATCACCTAGACTAGGTCACATGACTTTGATTGTTTATTATTCCAGGTAACTGCTGGTGCCCCCTTGAAGAAAGAATACACAGAAGAGGTAAGAGGAACTATTATAAAACTTTAGGAGAGGTTTTTGTTTAAAGGGACAAAATAATGTGGTGTATGGAGAATCACAACTTCTCACTCGTATGGCTGAATAGTGTGCAGCCTCAGGTCTGACAATAGCATGCTCTAATGCTGATGTTCAGTGAACATCTTAAACCGATTTTGGCAACAAATAAAGCCATCTCATCTTCCCCCAGCCACTTGGTGTTATCCCTCTTGTGTGTGCTATGTGTGTGACTGCATGGTACATTGTACTGTGGAACTGAGCTTCCTGAAAAAGAACTTTTTCTCAATAGTTTTTCCAGGACCACTAGGTTTTCAGAATGATCAGGTCTTCATTCCAGTCCATCATACAGACGTCTATGGAAGCACAAGAGTAGAGTGGTGCAGGGTTCAAAGACACTCCTTGAAATTAATGATACCTCAACCTGTTCATTAAACCACAGGTTTAATATGTTTGTGCTTCACATTTGATGTTGGGTGTCATTCTTCAAACAAGAGTGGATTCTAGAGGCTTGTTTTCTTTGTCTCTGCTGTAGACAAAATCTAGTCTTTTGGTTTTATCAGGCTAATCTTGCAATTAAGACAAAGCCTACAAAGTGCGAGGTAAAAGATTAAATAAGGAAATCCAGTAATGTGTTTTTATCTGGGATATATATGTATATATGGATTAGACTATGCATCAAACTCATGTCAAACCCCACCCCACTGCTGTAGTTTTTTGCAAACAAGAGACTAACAGCCCTTTCACTATTGTGAAAGGCAACCAGTCATCAGCTGCATTGTCTTCTTGTGTCCCAGAAAAGAGCAATACATTAATGTACAAATTTTGGGCACTGCTTAGTTATTTAAATATGTCTCTTGCTTATTAATTGAAATAAGAATTAGTAAGATAAGTGCCAAAATATTTTTGTCTGGAAGGATTTTGCTTGCCTGCAGCTGTCATGGTCAGCACTGTTTACATTCACTTTCATTTATGGAAAATTCTTTGGCTGGAGAAGACTTGATGTATTTTACCATTTCCATTAATTTTTATTTGATTACACAGAACCTCCAGCTGGTAGCTGATGGCTGCTGTAATCTACAGAAACAAATTCAAATTACTCAGCTCTTTGGAGTTCCTGTTGTGGTTGCTCTAAATGTCTTCAAGTAAGTCTATTTTTTCACTACTCTTGTGAGTAAATCCACAGTTCAAATTTCACACTTGGTTTTTAAATTATTCAGTTTTGGCATGAAGAAAAGAAGCTATTAAAGGATTTCCTTTTTTCATCATTAATATGAAGATCTTTAAGTCCTTTTCTTGTTCTTAAAGTTCTAAAACCACCAAAAGGTATATACTGTTATGAAAATATTAATCTTCCATGTTAATTAGCTATAACAATTACAAAAAGTGTTCTTGAAATATGTAGATATATATGCTGCATATAAATTCATTATGTATATGGCACAATTTCTATATAGACTTGCTTTACAACTGCTGAAAGAAAAAAGCTAAGCATACAAGATTATAAAAGAGAACTAATTAAACAGAATAATGAGACTGAACCATTTGGTTGGCAGAACTGACTCTCCTGCTGAGGTTGATCTGGTGTGTAAGATTGCAAAACAATCTGGAGCATTTGATGCTGTAGCCTGCAATCACTGGTCAGCTGGTGGTAGAGGAGCAGTAGAATTAGCTCAAGCAGTGGAAAAGGCAGCCAATCAGAAAAACAGTTTCAAATATCTCTACAGCTTGGAGGTAAGATTTTTTTTTGTTTTTTTTTAAATGAATGCATGCTGCATCAGTGTTGGATTTAAAGCAAGAAAAGCATTGCAACAAAGCTGTCTAACATACTTGGAAAGGGGCTTGACTTGGCTTAAAATCACAAAAGTTGGAGAGACCAATCTGTGGCTCGCCTAATCAGAGGAACAGGATACTTTGCTGGTAGTGCTTGTTATTTAGTGCATTGAATTGATGTTTCTGATACTTTCTTATTTAACAGAAAAGTATGCCTGTAGGTGGAACATTCAAAAATTATTGTGGGAGGCTTCTCCACAAGGATCTCAGTGTCCTGACAGTTGGCTAAAATACAGTTACTGGCTCACTGTCATGGGTATAGCTCAAAATTGTGGCTCCCTGAAGCATTCAGTCTCTATGTGATAAGGATGTTAGAGGTAGCATGTGCATGCTCATGCTACACATGTGCCCAGCCAGACAGGTCAACGCAGAGGGAAAGCAATGCCTTTACCAGCACCCACTTACACACCCACAGCTGTCAAATGAACATGAAGAGCCCTTGTTCCTTCACTCCCACTGATGGGATTGGAGTCTGCTAGCACAGTATGGCGCACACGATATATAGGTCACTGCTGCCCTTGTCCTTAGATCCTCAGTCTCTCCAGGAGCAGTCCCCAGTGCCCTTGCCCTGCTCCAGTTGGCATCAGAGCCCATGAGCCCCTGAGGTTCACGACTCACTCGAGCTGCTGGCACTCAGACCTCTCCTCCTGCTATCCAGTGTTCATACATACACATCTAGAGCAGAGAGCATACTCACACAGAAGGTAGGCAGAAATCAGATTTAATGAGAACAGAGGACAGATTGTGGTTCTCAAGCACAGAACTCAGACAAGCTACTGACCAGACACTCAACCAACCTCTTCTTCCCCTTTTCCCTCAATTTTTTCCTATGCTTGTTCCTCTTCAGTCTCCCTTGATTACTCCCTTTCCCCATGTTTGATTCTTCCACTAAACATGCCCTAACAATCTTTACGCATTCCCACAATCCCCTTCAAAAATCCCATAATAAGTTTTACACAGTCCCAAAATGCTTTTCTTTCTGTGTCCCACAACACAGTCCTGTGCTGCTGTAGGCAATCATCCCCTTTTGTTTGCAAAGTTTTCTGATTGAAGAGTTTCCCCATTGACTCGCCTTGGTACATTTCACACTAAGGACTATGGTCTCATCCTTCCCTTTGGATGGTCTTAGGAAACAGCCAATTCAATGTGCTCTAATTTTCACTGATTAGGTCTTTCCACTGATTACATTTACTAGGGTTCCTCCACCTATCATTGTTCTTCTGATTCTTCCTTGGGCTTTGTGTTTAATTTGCTTAGCCATTAGTTAGATAACCTAACAAGGGATAGTGTAGTCTGGGTTTCAATCCTTCATCAACCAGAGATGGTGACTGTTTCCATGTCTTGGAGACTTTGCTACTGTAGTCATCTACAAGGTAACATTGCAGCGTCTGAGCTGTTAAGAGGAGCAGCTTGCAAGGCAGGGCTGCTTGGGCCCCTGAAAGCACTATGCTGGAGTACCTCCATGCAGGCAGAACATTTGGAGGGATGTATTGCTGAGAAGGTTATAAAAATGATTTCTCAAAACCTTTCTGACTATCCAAATGTGTGTGGGTTAAGATTTAAGCAGCAAAATAGACTACTCTAGCACCAAGGAAACCCTAGTCAAATTTCACATCCTGTGTCCCCAGTGCTATGTAAGTTTCTTTAGAAAATGTTTGAATGCTGTTTCTTAACAGCAGAAACTCAGCTTCATTCTTTTAAATAGCAGAAAGTTCCTGGTTTGATTCCTCTTGCCAGAAAAAAGTTCAGCCTGAGGTAGATATGCCCTACTGTGGTCTTTTACTTTCTCTCTTCCCTGATATGTACCTTGTATCTTTTGTGCCAATTTTATTTCTTCTTTCCACCTCCCTCACTGTTTTCCCAAATGCCAGTAATTCAGCCAACTCCTATTAGTATTAACCACTGCCTTCACAGAATAGATGGAAATACTTGGGAATATATGTGCTGCAGCATCTATTCAGGGCATTTTGCCCATGGAACATTTTTACAGCCCAACAATGGACAATACATCTGCCTGTCTGAGCTTGTCTCTAATGAGGTGCTCTGGAAACTGAGGATATCATTTCATGGGTTTTGCATAATAAAATAGAAAAAAAAAATCTTTCAGAAATATGTATAAATAGTTTTCCCCATAGGACGCTTGTGTTACAGCGATAGCGTATTAGCATTTGACAAGTTGCGTGTTTAAGCTTTGTTGTCAATGTATTCTATGTAGCTTACAATCTTGTGGTATGAATGAGTAAAAAGGATTGGTAGGGGTGGACTCTGCCTGTATGAAGGAAGAAAATTAGATTAATTTCTACTTTAATGTCTTTCCCAGGCACATCTTTTTGTGCTGTGTCACATAACAGCATGATCTTAAGCACAAAAGGAATTAATCACGTCTTTACATCCACTTAATATCCTGTAACAACCCAAGTATTATAAGCCTCAAAAATAAAGGTATTTTATAAAAACATATAAAGATTTTAAAATACTGTAAAAAAATAGATTCAGGCCAACCAAAACAGTGAAGTGTAAAGTTCAGGCTTCTGTTTCATTCTTACTGTGCAAAGGATGAAGACTGAAGCAGTTGGAAGCAGAAGAGTGAAGCAGCAGTTCTGTCACTTGTATGCTGTGGTAGGTCATTTGGTCACTGGGCCTGTGGGGGTGTGAGGAAAAGCCGCCTCTTCCAAATAAGCCTGCCTAGATATTAATTAAGGTTGTAATAGGATTTTTTTTTTTATGTAGCAGTTTTGAGGACTGAGTTCTACTGTTCGAAGGGGTGACTACGATAGAAAATTAAGATAGAGAAGAGGTAGTAAGATGGGATTTAGTCAGATGGTTTCCCTCCATCATTGTTTCTAGAAAGGATGTAGTTCCATCCCTTGTCTTTCCAGTGACTGCTGGATTTGTCCAGTCACTTGAATACTTCAGGGTCCTGGTTGCCTCAAGTTTGATAGGGTTTGCAGTGGTGCTTTGTTTTTTTTATTTCTTTCCCCTTCAGAACAAAGAAGAGGGAAATATTCTGCATAAAACCACTACCACTTCATTCATATCTCTCTTTATTATATTACTCTACACTTTACTCCATGTCTTCGTTTAGTCCTTTGGTGTCTGTGCATCTTATTTTCCTCAGTCTGTAAATTTTCCTCAGAATTTACTTCCAAAACTGGCTATAGTTAGAACAATTTCCAAAGCACAGACCACTGTAGCCATAGTAGATTCATTCAGCATTTTGATGTTTTCTTGATGTCTGGAAAGCTGCCTGGCAGAAAGGGACCTGGAGGTGTTGATCGACAGCCAACTGAACATGAGGCAGCAGGGTGTGCAGGTGGCCAAGAAGGCTAACGACATCCTGGCCTGCATCAGGAATAGTGTGGCCACCAGGACTAGAGAAGTGATTGTCCCACTGTACTCGGCATTGGTGAGTCTGCGTCTTGAGTACTGTGTTCAGTTTTGGGTGACACAGTATAAGAAAGATATTGAGGTGCTGGAGAGGGTCCAAAGAAGGGCAACAAAGCTGGTGAAGGGTCTTATGAGGCGCAGCTGTGGGACTTGGGGTTGTTTAGTCTGCAGAAAAGGAGGCTGAGTGGAAACCTTATCAATCTTTACAACTACTTGGAAGGAGGTTGTAGAGAGGTGGATGTGAGTCTCTTCTCACAAGTTACAACGGATAGGACACCTGGAAATGATGTCAAGTTACACCAGGGGAGGTTTAGGTTAGACATTAGGAAGAACTTCTATACTGAAAGGGTTATCAAAGACTGGAACAGACTGCCTAGGGCTGTAGTGGAATCACCATCCTTGGATGTATTTAGAAGCTGTAGAGATATGGTGCTCAGGGACATGATTTAGAAGGGGACATGGTAGTTAAATAACAGTTGGACTTGATGATCTTCAAGGTCTTTTCTACCATAATGGTTCTATGATTCTGTGATTCTAAAGCATTACCTTGGGGATTTAAAAACAGAACCCCTATATGTAAAACTGGTTTAGCTCCTTTTTTACTAGTTAGACCAGAGTTAGCAGCAATTGATATTATACTATACAGTCAGGCAACTAATTACAGGATAGTCCAGGTCAACTGGGTTCTCTGGGATTTTTCCAAATGGCATGCATCTCTGCAGTGTTTTATGTAATTTCCAAATGTATACCTGAAAAGAAAGACTTCCTTGAAAGTTTTTTACAAATGTGTATAATGTGAGAAGATCAAGAAGGTCTTTTCTAGATTGGTCAAATACTGATAAAAAGTTGAGGATTGGCGATTTTTTTCCTGAATCCTGAGGTACGTTTATGCATTTCATGGAATCATAGAATGGTTTGGGTTGGAAGGAACTTTAATCTCATCTAGTCCATCCCCCTTGCCATGAGCAGGGACACCTTCCACGTTTCATACCATCTTGTCCACTGATACTCAAGCATGTGCTGAATGAATGATTTTACACAGTGGACACAACATACTTGTGGCAGTTCAGGATGCAGGCTCAGCTAAGTGGTTCTGTTGAGTATCATAGCAAGCTAGATGGATTAGACTGTGCTAATATCCTTGAAGCATCTCATTCAGTCTTTTTAAACTTCCTCAGGTGACATGAGGAACATGACACAGTGTTCTGTAGTCCCACTTTTAGATTGCTTTTTAGGCTCTTTACTTATTTCTCTTAGCTGGTAAGGTTTTGTTTTGATCTTAGTAGCTGATACTATTAGCTTGTACTTTTTTTATTTTTAAATACTACTTCATTCTAGCAAGGGTTCGTTTGGCGTTTGTTTTTAGATTAAGAAATAATTTTCAAGCATTGAAATGAGAACAGAATAAGCTTCAAGCATATTTTGAGGGCAGTGTGAAGAATATCTGCACATATGATTATGGGAGTGTGTATGTCTGCCAGTGTCATTCCATGGATTAATTATAAGTGACCTCT